CTGACTTTTTCTTATTTTGTTAAACAACCACAGCAACAACTCTTATTGAATTCTCAGTGTGCAATTGTTCTGTTACCTGTAGGTGAGCTTGAAAATCCACATATGGATCATAAATGACACTTATGAAACTCAGACAGAACTTTGTCATTACAAAACATCTATCCAAAATTTCACCGTTTTGCTGACTTGACCATGTGACTTGCCAAAGCGTTTTGCCAAGTCAGCAAAACGGTGAAATTTTGGATAGATATTTTGTACAAGCATACCAAGGATCTTATTCCATGGCTGCCCTGTGAAACCATCAAGGCCACTCTGCCAGAGGCTTTTAAAGATAATGGCTGCCCCGTGAAACCATCAAGGCCACTCTGTCAGAGGCTTTTAAAGATCATTTTCCAAACACTACTTGTATAACTGACTGCACAGAAACTGTTCTACAGAAGGCTAAAAATCTATATTCTAGAAGTGAATCGTACAGTCACTATTATGCCAGTAATACTCTGAAGTATCTGGTAGCAACTTCTCCATCTGGATTAGTCATGTTTATTTCAGAGGCTTATGGTGGCAAATGTAGCGACAGGTACATTGCACAGAACTCAGGGTTTCTGGACTGCTTGAGGCCCGGAGATGAGGTGATGGCGGACCGTGGATTCACTATCAGGGACTTATTGGAGGAACGCAAGGTGAATTTAGTTATGCCAGCATTTACACGCAAACAGTGCCAGCTGACTAATGAGGAAGTCACCCACACGCGACACATTGCTCATGCCCGCATGTACAAGATTCTCTCACAGACTTTGCCTATAAATTTGATCCCAGAGTTTGATAAAATACTGCGAATTTGTGCTGCTCTTGTAAATCTAAGAGGGGAGCTTATCTCAAGCACATAGATAAACATGTATCATCACTTAAACTGCATGTGCTTATAGTTTAATGTCATTAACAAGATACATGTTATTAATACATGTTGTTTTTGTACACTATGTAGACAGTAAAAATATTTACAGGATTCTTTCATGTATTTCATTCTCATGTTGCTTAAAAAATAAACTGATGAAACTTATTTACATTGTATTGGTATGTTTTGTATACTGTGTACCACATTCCTCACCCTCTACTTGTTTAAAAGCTGCAGGTATTTCTTGCACAGATTTATCTTCTTATCAGCAAAATCATCAACTAATGCTGGCAGCATGTGTAAAAAGTAAGATTTCTGTAGCTGTTGCACATGAGCTTCTGCATAATTTTTGTCAAATGGAATGTCCATTTCTAGGTGCTCAGTTGATGTCCAGATGACCAGCTTGCAGCTCAGTAGACCCACACACAT